AATGCGGACATTGTATCAGTTTTACAGTAAAAGTTGACTGATGTCCAGCTTCGGATGTTTAGGGAAAGCTATTTTGGCTATTTCCTTGATTTACCTCGAGTTGCTATCCAGACACAACTTATTCGTTCTTTAATATTTAGGGAGTTGGTTCAAGATAAGCGTGATCAATTTTATGTGATATTGAATGACGAATGTGTTTTACGTTTTGATCTTCAAGAATTTGGTATTGTAAGTAGTTTAAACTGTTGTGGTAATGAACATGTTGAGGGTAAATTCAGTGGACCCAATAGGTTGGTAGATACTTATTTTTTTGGTTTTGAAGTGGTGTTAAAGAAGTCACTTATTGATTATTTTGAGAAGAAGAAATGACTGTCTAATGAAGACGCAGTTAAGATTGCAATCATTTATTTCATAAACACATTTCTAATGTCCACTCATGCTTAGAAGACATTTATAAGTAAACATGATTTCCATCTTGTTGAGAGTGGTTAGTATGTGTCGTTTCCATGGGGTAAGATTGCATTTCGAGCTTTAATGAAGTCGGTGCGGGACAAGTTGAGGGGAAAGTCTGAGTTTTATAGGATTGGTGGATTTCCTCTTGCACTACAGGTGTGGTTCTATGAATGTTGCACTGTAGTTGATCAAAAGTTTGCTGTTCGCATTGGAGATCATACACCACGCATATTTAATTGGGAAATGACACACAGGCCAACACGTGAGGACTTCTCTATTGATTTCTTCAACAGCACAGGGAATAAGGTACCATCTTTTATATATTAATGGGATATACATTTATAATACACTGTAATTCATTATGATACATCAAACATACAGTTTTTATACATCTTTGATACATGTAGGACTGAATCACTTTTGGTTAACTTTGTAGTTTAAAAATATTTCTCCGACAATTGAAGAGCTAATGAGATTACTTTGCCTGTTGAAGTTTCCGATGAGTATCAGAAATACTTGACATCACGTAACAGGGGAAAACTTCCTGTTGATTATAGCGATGATTTTATCACCCCACCCCGAAACACATTAAGGAGCCTGTCCCACCAAAAAAGGAGCCAAAAAACGCGCCAGGTGTCCAACCTGTTGATGATGACCGTGAGTTGCAGAAGTTGAAAGCTGATGTGAAGCATGTATTGGTCTTTTTTATATATATTTTTGAAAGTATTGTTCAAATTGTATATTCAAAGCCTATTATCTTTCTTATTTGTTTCATCTTGTAGCTCCATAAGCAGTTAAATTCCTTCATGGAATATGTTTCTGATAAATTCAAGGAGCTCTTTGAGTTGATTAATTCCAAGGTTTGTGTTTCTTTTCCGTTGTGCATTTCTTTTTATTTTTTAGTTAACTTACTATATCCTTTTTTTTAAAAATAGCTTGGTGCAAGCGAAGTCATATATGATGCACATCCAGAGGAAGACACCAGTAGTCGTCAAGATAATAATGATTTTGTGAGCAATATGGAGTTTGATGGCAATGAAGATGTTGAAATGGATGGTTGTCAGGTGTGTTTAGTTGTGCATTCTGCACTTTTCCCTTTTCTTTTCTTTGTTATTTTTGATAATTCGATTTTTTTTACAAAAAATAGGTCGGTGGAAGTGAAGGCAAAGATGTTCCACATTCTCAAAGAGATACTAGTGTAGCAGATCAGTTAGGTGTCAATGCTATGGAAGGACCTTCTGGAGTGAAAGTTGACATGTTTGTTGCCAAAGTAACTTTCACACTAGATGTAGCACATACTGGCATTATTGGTGAGATTGCAGATGCAGCGGCAGGGGAGACGGAGGAAGAATCTGAGAAACAAATGGTTCCTAAATCCCGGACTGGTTCTGTTTGTGCGACTGCAAGTGTTGATGTGGCGGCAGGGGAGACAGAGGAAGAATCTGAGAAACAAAAGGTTCCTGAATTTTGGACTGGTGTTGTTTGTGCGACTGCAAGTATTGATGAGGCGGCAGGGGAGATGGTTCTGTACAATCCTGAATTACTTCTTGAAGTAACGCCGCAAATGGAAAAAATAAAGAGATGTCCTGCAAAGGCCGCGTAGTCTCCATTCATTAATGTGTTTGATTCAGGTTCCAGTACTGGTGTTGTTGCAGCGAAAGGAAAAAAAGAAAATTTATGCTATTAAGCATCCTTTTCAAAGAAAATCAGAACTGGCGTTAACAGCTCTTTGTTGAATGTATTTGCTGGGTGGGTCAAAGAAGGAAAGTCCAGAAAGAAGTATGTTTCCAACTTCTGAGTTTTTTTCAGTTTTATATTTTAATATATTGTCACTTATAACATTATTTTATATCAAATCACTGTACTCTTTTGTGTATATATGTTACCAAGAATGAAATTTACCCGAAGCATGTTAGTGAACTCAATCCTGCTTATGATCTTGGTGTATTTCATGTTGAAGACAAAAAATGGTTTTACACTTTGGCATATAATGGTCAGCCCTTGGATGACTCGGTATGTAAGAATTTACTGTTGTAGTATTGTTTTTTAAAATTTTAGCCAGTGTACACATGAACACTCAATCCCCTTAAGTTAGAACAGATTATTAATTGCTATTTCCTGGCACAAGAGATAGTAGTGAGCATTCATTTTCCTTTGTTTTCTGTGATTTTGGTTTGAAAAACTGTAGCTGATTAAAGCTTACGAGCCTTTAGTGATTAGTTATTTGTTATGTTTTGTTTCAGTACATTGATGTTTTGTTCTATTATCTGAGGAAGAAGGGGAAGTATGACAAAGACCTACCTGTAACATTCACCACCACAGATTGGTACTTCGACGAGAAAATTAATGAGTTGTGGCAGGCGTTTATTGATACAGATGGAGACAGGGATGTGTGCAATCCGGAACATGTCATTGCAGAGTATATTCAGGGGTTTGTCTTGCATGCCAATGTTCCATGGCACACTGTCGAGCATGTCTTAATGCCAAGTAATGTTGCAGAACAATGGCATTGGATAATGGCTATGATGTCCTTTAAGGATAGGCGCATTTATGTGTATGACTCTATGCGCGGTGGAGCTGCTCATCAAGCCAAAGTTCATATGATCATGGCCAAGTATTCTGTGTTGCTGCCTCATTTTTTCGTGCACACACATTTCTATTTAAACAAAAAAGATATCAATTGGCGCATTGGTGTCTACAAATCAAAAGACTTGATTACCCCCTTTGATGTAAAACTGGTCGAAGGATTGCCTCAACAAGTCGAAGCGTATGAATTTCTTTCAACACAATCTGTCTTGTTTTTAGATTCTGCAGTTTGATAGTTGTTGTTCTTTTTATTTTTGCAGTGATTGTGGTGTATTTGCGGCATCATTTGCTGAGTATTTCATTGAGGGCAAGATGCCTCCTAAAAAATTCAATGCCCATGCACACTGGCGCATATTTGGTGCTCTCTTGTGGGATTATGCTAGAAAGAAGATGGAACTGAACGCGCAAAGTGATGATGAGATTATTGGTCAACAGAATAAGTCGCGAAAGCAGAAGAAGTAGTTACTTTTGTCATTGTTGTAGAATGAACTCTATATTTTTGTTTTTGTATTGTGTTCTGTTATGTTGTCATTTTTGTAAGACGTATCAGATTTGTTTGTGTTTGAATTTTATGAATACTTTTAAGAATTGTATGGAAAATGAGACTTTTGCTCTGTTATAAAGGTTTAATGAGTTTCAGTGCGATATTGGATTGTTGCAGTTTAGTTTATTTTGGTGTTTTCTCCCTTGATTTTGTGTTGTGAATTATAGATATGAAAAATATATGGTAGTTTGTGATACATTGTCTCTTGCAGATACATGCATGATACATACATGATACAGATATGATACACATATGATACATAGTTTTCAAATATGTATTGATGAAGCCACTCTTATTTGCAAATTTCTAAAACTATTTGCATAGTTTTCTAGCTGCTACGACTGTTTTCCATTAGTTAGCTTTGTTACGACACAAATACAGGCATGAGTAAGAGCCTATACACAGAGATACATAGGTGATACACAAGCGATACATAGATGATACAAATGTGATGCACAAGCGATACATATATGATACAATATAATACATAGCTGATACAACTTCTTTTTAATCAAATAGATGTTTAATATAAACTTGCAACATGATTTTAAATGACAGGTCAAATATTTATTTATATCTAAAATTCAAATGACATTCTACAATGATATAGTACTTGATATATTGCATTCTTCTAAATCTCTATGATATTCAGTAAAGTAAAATAACAAGTAATTCTAAATTTGACATATTTCATCCTCTCTTTGGATTATTTCTACAAGTTTTCTTGTTGTGACCTTCTTCTCCACACTGTCCATATGAAATCGACCTTTTTCGTTCCCTTTCAGATATTGGCTTACACCTCCCCTTCCTTGGCCTTCCTATTGTTTTAGTCACGTCTGGTGGCAAGACTTTTTCATTTAGAACTTCTGCAGGAATTTCCCATGTGCTTTCATCAGGAATCGGATAAATTGGAATTTTATAGGTCTTCAATAGGTACTTCGTGGTGTAGTACACCGAGCAATACTTAATGTGATCAATGTATTTGTATTTTAATACTGTCCAAGCATGTGCACATGGCAGATCATCCAACTGAAACCTTCTACAGCTGCAAGTTCGATATTTTAGGAACACCATTCTCTGCTAACCCTTGTCAAGTACTGAATATAAGTAACTCGTCGACGGGGTCACCTACAAAATTTATCAACTATCATTAGTGGTGACAAAGAAGATGCCCTCAAAATACATGTACTAGAGAGCCTACAAGATTCAAAATAGCTTAATATCATGTCAAACCAACCAATATTTGAGGAGTGGGGTAGGCATAAATGCTATATTAAATTGAAAGCCTTTGCTTTTGTGCAGCTGGACACTAGTTTAACAGAATCACACAGAGGGTTCAAGATATAACTGGTCGGTGAATTCGGCATGATTACATATTCTATGCGCAAGTATTTACAGAATCCAGTCATACCATCATCTAATGTGACAATTCAAGATTGTCCATCAGCATTGTATCATATTTTTTTCCAAGATCAGTGAATGACTCTACTGCATTCTTTAAGTTTTTAACATTCCATGGTCCGATCAATTTCCTTATGTAGTCTAGCAAAGGCAGTACTGGGAGTTCCCTAGCAGCCTTGAGTGCTGCATTGATCGACTCCACAATGTTTGAAGTCATCGTCAATGTTCTGTTGACAGTGGAATATGCTATGGACCATCTTTCATACCCAACATTCATTAAGTAATCTTTGATCCTCTTATCAATTTTCTCTACCTCTGCCATGTGGTAATCAAACTTCTCAACTGTGTATGCTTTGGCCATAGCAAAAAATATGTCTTTGAGCAGCAAATGGTTTTTTTTTTGTAATTTTTTTACATTATTCCATAGATGCCATATGCAGACACAATGAGGTACTTGTGGATACAATGTTGCCGCTGCATTTTCAATGCCTTCATGCCTATCCGAGACTATGCACATTCCCTCCCTTTCTCCAAATGCATCTTTGAATCTCGCAAAAAATCACTCCAAGGAAGCATTATTCTCTGAATTTGCTATGGCATATGCGAGTGGTGGGATATTACCTGCTGGATTTTTTGTTGATGCTATCAATAATGTTCCTCTATATGCCGATTTAAGAAAGGTTCCATTTATAACAACAACCGATTTACAATACTGCCATCATTTTATAGACGGATATAGTGCAACACAAGCATACATGAACAAGTCTTCCCTATTTTTTTTCAAAATTACCACCGACATAGGATTTGTAAGAACCAGCATATAAAAATAGCTTGGCAGCTTTTCATATGATTCGCTTGGGTTTCCTCTCAGTACTTGAACTGCATATTCTTTCGATCTCCATGCTTGCATATATGTCATCTGAAGACCAGCTTGTTCATGTCTCCAATTATGTCATTAGGAGTGTATACTATTTTTGGGTCTTTATACTTGTCTATTAGAAGACTGCCGATGAGTTTTGCAGTAGCTTGGCGTTGTGCGTAAGATCTGTCTTTCAAGGGGCATGAGTGAACTTTGCTGAAATTTCTGACCTTGAAACATTTACTTTTTTCAGGCTCGAAGACTTAAAATACCAATCACAGTTGTTGTTGATTCATACTAGGCAGTACCTACGACAATGATATAAACTTTTCCATCAATAAATAGACTGACATGAAATACAATGATATATAGTGATACACACTGCCATCAACAATACTAGATGAAAAAAATACAGCGACTATACAGTACTAGACAGTGACAACCACAACTTAAAAGTGTACAGCCACATACTTACAAGTAACAATGCGATGACCTGGTCGATCGTCTCATGAGTTACCGCTTTGTTTTCCCCATTGCAGCTTCTTTATGCTTCGTTATCCATGTTTTTGTGGTATCGGGTTGGTCGAATCGAGTCCGGAATGAGTTTGGTGAAGTTTGAGACACTTAGTCTCTTTTAAGAAGGCTTAAGTTGGAAAAGTCAACCAGATATTGACTTATGTGTTAGAAGGCTCAGAAGTGAGTTCTGATGGTTCCATTAGCTTGGGTAGGTGATTTGTGACTTAGGAGCATGATCAGAATGGGTTTTGGAGGTTCAGAGTAGAATTAGGCTTGAATTGGCAATTTCCGGTTGTTAGGCGAGATTTTGATATAGGGGTCAGAATGGAATTCCGAGAATTGCAGTAGCTTCGTCGCATCATTTGGGATGTGTGTGTAAAATGATAGGTCATTCGGACATGGCTTGGTTGGGTTTTTGATCAAAAGCGTATTTCGGAAGATTTTTGAAACTTAGGCTTGAATCCGATGTGATTTGGTAGATTTGATGCTGTTTGAGGTGTTTTGATGATTGAGACAAGTTTGAATAAGGTATTGGGTTATGTGTGAGGTTTTGATTGAGGTCCCAGGGAGCCTTGGGATGATTTCGGATGGTTAACGGGAAGATTTGAAACTTGGGAGATTGTAGAAAATTTGCTGCTTCTGGTGTTTTTGCGCCTGCAGTTTGGGGCCCGCAGGTGTGGCGCCGCAGATGCGAGGGAGAAGCCGCAGGAGCGGTTTTGGAGGGGATTGTCAGGAAACCACAAATGCATTTGTGGGGGTTGCATCTGCGGAACCGCAAATGCGGAAGAAGGATCGTAGATGCGGCAGTGACCGAATTTAGTGATTTCCACAGAAGCGGAGTGTTAACCGCAAATGCAGTACCACAGAAGCAGATTTTGGACCGCAGATACGGGTATGCCTGTGCAGAACATATAAGTTAGACCATTTCGCGAAATTGGGTTATTTCACCATTTTTGGACCTCGGTTTGGGAACTTTTGGACGATTTTGAAGGGAGATTTCAAGGGAACTTCGTTAAGGTAAGGATTTTGGACCTAAAACACACTTCTATGGTAATATTTCATGGATTAAGACTAAAATTAAAGGAATTAAAAGGCTAAAAATGGAGGGTTAGGGCTTGAGTCTAAGAGGGCTTTAATTGGGGATTTGAGGGGTCATTTAGACTCCGATTTTGATGTTGTTGATATGTATGAACTCGTGGGGAGATATGAAACCCGTTTTTGTGAAAATTTCTGAATTTCGAGAAGTGGGCCCGGGGCTCGGGTTTTGGCCAATTTCAGGATTTTTGGTATTTTTCGATTGTTTTCGCTTGGGCTTTGTTCCCTTAGCATATTGTGATGTATTCAATCTGATTTTGGATAGATTTGACGCACGTGGAGGCCGATTCGAGGGGCAAAAGCATCGCGAGTTAGAGATTTAGCCGGTTCGAGGTGAGTAATGATTGTAAATGATGCTCTAAGTGTTTGAAATCCCGAATTGCACATCGTAGTGCTATACTGAGGTGACACCCACGCTTGATGACGAGCGTGGGGTCGTGCACTATTGGGGATTGTGACTTGGTCTGTCCCGATTGATGATTTTACCGCGTATTTGACTGAAACTTATTTGCTATCATCATGATTTGGGCTAATTGCCATATTTGGGCTTCGTGCCAACTATTTTAACCCTTCGGGAATTTTTGTTACTATTTCTTCACTATTTTTACTTATTACTTGAACTCAGTCATGTTATTTTTCACTGTTATACTACTCAGCCATTTTTACTCAGTTTTAAGACTTAGATGATATTTTTAAATAATGTTTTGGGCTGAGAAATACTATTTTACTATTGTTCGAGGGGCTTGTGATGATTTTTGGACTAAGTAAGGCCGAGGGCCTAGTTGTAAGGATACACTGATACTGATATGAGGCCGAGGGCCTGAGATTCATATATACGCCACGAGGTGGCTTGATTGATATGAGGCCGAGGGCCTAGATTTGATGCCATGAGATGACTTGATATTGCGCTTGGGCCGTAAGGGGCCCCTCCCAGAGTCTGTACACCCCTAGTGAGCGCGGGTAATTGTGATGTGAGAATGAGCCTGAGAGGCTGATATTGTTCTAAGATTGAGCCCGAGGGGCTGGTACTATTCTGAGATATTGCCCGAGGAGCGGATTTGTTGATACTGTGTCCGAGGGGTGAACTTCTATTTGTTTGCTTACCTATCAATTACTTGTTTTAGTTATTGAAAAGGAATTTACTTGACTCTTCATTGTTTTACTTTTTTTAAGTGATTTTACTGCTTCAGTACAGAATGCCTTGTGTTTTACGTGTTTTCTTACTTTCAGTCGTTATTTACATTTGTTACTCACTAAGTTGGAGTACTCACTTTACTTCCTGCACCCTGGGCTTTGTTCCCTTAGCATATTGTGACGTATTCATTCTGATTTTAGATAGATTCGACGCACGTGGAGGCCGATTCGAGAGGCAAAGGCATCGCAAGTTAGAGATTTAGCCGGTTCGAGGTGAGTAATGATTGTAAATGATGCTCTGAGGGTTTGAAACCCCGGATTGCACATCGTAGTGCTATATTGAGGTGAGACCCACGCTTTATGACTAGCATGGGGTCGTGTACTCTCGGGGATTGTGACTTGGTCCGTCCCGATTGATGATTTTACTGCGTATTTGACTAAAACTTATTTGTTATCATCATGATTTGGGTTGATTGCCATATTTGGGCTTCGTGCCAACTATT